TCAACTTTCCCTCCAAAAACCAGCTAGCCAATCAGCGCGCGGGGGCCGTCAATCGACAAGAGTGCCTATAAATTAACAAATTACATAAAGCGAAGGTGTGCTTTTGCAGCTTTTTAGTGCAATTTGCAGCCACCAGTGATGCTATGCAAAATTTCAACTTTTTACTTTCAGGAAAAAAACACAAACAAGTGAGTAATACACCCAAAATTAATATAAAAAGTAAATACAGTAGCAGACTACTTCTTAGCCTAAAATTGAGAAATCAAAATCGAATTTCTGAAGGCAGTAGCTCATATTGTAATATATGGTTTCTCACCTCATTCATTTTAACTCAGTTCTTTTACCCTAGTCAGGGGCTGCTGTCATTTTATTCATTCTGCTACAAATGAAGGCTTACACGAGTATTCAAAAACTGCAAAGTTCTGAGACGGTGTCACAAGGACGGAAAGCAGGTAAGGATGAAAATAAACACTAATGACGTCCTTTTTCTGGCGAAGCCACTGTCTGGTGGCGCGTCGCTTTTCCAGTTAACGTTCATTTTTTAAATTGACTTTTACGTGTCACACCTCTTCTGCAATGTTCCCATTTGCCATCATTGACAGTCGCTTTCGCCTACAGTTCTTTTTAAAATTTTTTTAGCGCCAAAAAAAGGCAGTTGTGCAAAAAAATTTCCTGAGAAGCTCACAGAAGAGGAAAAACAACGGTATTCACGGGAGGTTAAAAAATGTACTGCACAAGAAATATGAAGTCTGAGAGGCATACTGATAATTAGACAAACCACCAGACTTTCTGAACTATCAGCGAGCTCTTTAGTTCTATTCTTGTGCGTAATACATACTCTTCCAATGTCGATGTTGTAGCTCTATAATACAGTTCACAAGCAATTGTCTATATGACCGCACTTTTCATGATCATTAAACGAGCAAAAAAGCTTTCTACGCGAGGTTGATGTTATATCTTGGCTTACTCTTGGAGGAATTATCCTGCTGCACTTGAAAACTAAATTTGCATGCGAATTTAAGCAAATGATTCTCGCAAAAAAAAAAAAAAGAGAATACAAGTGGCTGAAAATGTTTGTAGGACACATGTGGAGTTAACTTGATATGAAATGCTCTCAGTTTCAGCAAGTTTTAAACTAACATAATGCGCTGCAAAATTCTCGATACGAATAACTATCGGGCTCAAAACAGCCAAATACTGTTGTGTTGCTAAACTAAGAGTGAGAGGCTTTTTTTCCACTCCATGAACTTTCAGATCTTTGATTTTACCGTTTCCCAGTAGAACTCCAGCAGTTGTCTGAAAAAACAGACGTATAAGCATAACTCCATTCTGTTTTTGCTTTACCCAAATGTCATTAAAAGATGAAACAACTAGGAAATGATAGAACAAAACCTTATTTGTGTATAAAACAGATGGCAAATGGAGCGATTTTCCAGTTGGGAAGTCCAGTACAAATGCGTATAATTTTGATCCCGTAAAGTGTGGTGCCCATGCGGTTTCGACCTTATAGGACTGTGGAACGCTTACTGTATACCTAAGTTAATGACCGTAAAGTATTAATGACTTTCAAAAGCAGAGTGTATCAGTTTTCCAATGTCTCATACGTCGCTAGAATTTAATGAAATTATCTCGACATCAGGCTAATTCTATTACAGTTCTACGTAAACCATTGTTTAGCAGACTCTATTTTGCCACACGTGTGTTAAAATTTACCATATATTTCCCGGATCTTTTTGGTACATCCAAGGATAAGTTTTAAAAATAGCTTCTTCATTTCGCGACACCCATTCACCAAGTTCTCTTAATCGTTCTTCGAATATTGGAGGAATTACGCCATGATTATCGGGTCCAATGTTCAGCAAGAGATTGCCATTACAAGCTATCGTTCTAACCAGTTGCTCGATCACTTCATTTAGCGACCGAACATCACC